GAAATAAATTGTGCCCACAGCTGCCCTCTACTTGAACACCTGGGAGAGAAGGCTGGTTAGTGGTGAATGCACTTGTCTGTTCCAGCCCCCTTCTTTTGTGAAATAAAGACTTTCTGTTACCTAAAAATACAAATCACAGAATTGGGAAATAAAGGGAAGTGCTTGCTAAACTAGGGGAAACAAAAGACAGTTTCTGTTTCAGGCAAAGACTTGGAATCCATGATAGGTTGACAGGTTTACGGACAGCTTAGCTTATCCTTGTCACTATCAGCTGTGTCACCAAAGTGCCTGTGTGTGTGAAGACTGGTGTCTTCAGGGAATCAGCTCCTGGCACTCTACGTGGGGACAGCATGCTTCATACATTTCAGACGATTGTCTCAAGCCTTTTGACAAGGCTTGTGGATTTTCCTGAGGGTGGAAGCTTGTGTTAATTCAGACTCCTGCCAAGTGGAGGCTTTGAGAGTGGGTTTGGAGCAAACCGGAATTAGGAATGGAGCCTGCTGTAGCTAGCAGCTGTCTTTCTCTCCGTGTGCACTGATGCAGGGTTTTTCTAGCCACGTTTGCTCCTCTCATCACCTGGAAACATGGTGCTCATGGCCACCTTGGAGGTGCAGAAGCTGAGCCTCTGAGAAGGGCGGTGTCCAAGGGTGACAGTAGCAGAACCAAGATCCAGATGTTGGTGTCAGCCCTCCAGTGCAGCCACAGTGGCTGGTGGCCAGGTGAATCCTCGCTTGATTCCAGTGCTCATCCAAGGTTGCTCTTGGAGGAGGAGTGGAGAATCTAGGGATTTGGAGGTGAAGACTTTTTCCCAGAATTCATCTTGTTATACGTGGACTTAGATATTGGGTGGGTGCTATTGAGCTGCTGAAGCCTCAGTATCTGAGTTTGCAGCAGACCTGATGGTGGGGATAAAGCCCAGGAGTAAAGGGTAGGCTCCAATGGAAACTGAGCTTCCCAGAAAGTAGCCTGCAACTTCAGGGGCCAGGGGCTATAGACTATGGAACCTGAGAATCCTTGGGGGGTATGAGAGTGCCTGTGTTCTTTGCTACCACAGAAACCCAAAGGTATCTTTTTTAAAATTTCAAGTTACCATGGAAACGAGCCTCCCGGCTCGGCTTATATTTAACAGCTCAACAGATGCCAAGTCCCTATGGGGCATCTCGGGATACTCTTATTCTCTAACATACAGTCTGGTGTGAACCCAAAGGTATCAGTCTTTCAACATAGGAGATCCTAGCACACTTACCAGTCCCTTCCTTCATCCAGACTCCCACCCTAGGGAGTGGACACTCCAATGTCTTGTCTCGGACACTTGTCTTGGAGGAAAGACATCAATGTCTTTCTGCATCAATATCTCTTGTCTGGGAGGAAAGATTCAGATTCGGGGCTTAGGAGATGACTTAGCTGAAAAAGGACTTGTGCAAAGATCCAAGTTTGGTTCCCAAGGACCTGAGTGATCCCCAGAACCCATGTTAAAAAAAAAAAAAAAAGCCAGGCATGTTGGTGCACACTTCTAATGCCAGCATTGGGGAGGCAGAGACAGGCTCACTGGCAGCAGCCAGCCCTGCCTATTTGGTAGGGTCCAGCCCCTGTTTGGAAATAAGCTGGATGACATCAGCAACAACACCTGTTGTCCTGGTCTCCAGAGGTCCAAACATCGATTGTACTTGCATACGCTTGAACATGCATGCACACAAAAACACACAAAAAGGTTAAGAAGTCAAGTACAAGTGAGAAAGTGCTGCTGAGAGAAAAAGGAGACATTTACCTCATGACGTGGTTTGGAGGCCATGCAATGGTGACACATGGTCATGTGAGACAGGCTTCCCATGAGTCACTGGAAATGGAGACAGTAAGTGTGTCAGATAGAAAGCCTGTAGGGCCTTCCCGGTAGCAGGAAATGGTGGCTAATTATTCGAGGGCTATTTTCAAAGGTCTTTAGTTGTCCTCGTGGCTGTGGTTGTTTGTCAGTGGATTCCTTGCTAGGTGTGCTAGGGTGCACTTGTGGCCGCAGCCTTCAAAAGCCAGAGGGTTACTGTAAGTTCAAGGCTGGCTTGGTCTGTGTAGCAAGTTCCAGGCCAGTTAGGGCTACAGCAAAGGCCCAGCCTTAGAGGGATGGGGTGATGAGACAAGCGAGGATTCTTTGAAATACAAGGACATGTTTGTTTAAAAGTATACGTGTGTGTATGTGTGTGTTAGCCCATTTTCCACTATTATAATGAGATACCCAGAGCTGGGCACTCTAAAGAAAGGGGGTTTATATAGCTTACTGTCTGGGAGGCTGAAAGCTCAAGGCCAGGCAGTCCATGGATTTGGCCTCTTTCTGGGGCCCTTTATACCATAGTGTGTGTGTGAGCCTTGGCAGGAATGCCTGTGGTAGGAAGCCCTTGCATAGCTAGAGGACAAATGGGAACAGGAGGGGGAGTCATACACCAAGACCTCCCACCAAGCCCCCTCTTAAAACCCACCTGTTTTAACTCAGTACCGGGCGCTCTACACAGGAAACTTTGCATCATAGCCATAGAAGGCCAAAAAGGAGTCCTCAGGGCGCCTGACCTGCCTGCTTAGTAGACACAGCCCCTGTGTCCCCAGTCTTCTAACTGTGGGACTGGGGTGGTTTTACTTCATTTCTACAGCGTGGTTTGCTTCAGCTAGGTTTGTTTTCTGTGGCTGTTTTGAACTGTCGAGCCCCTTTTAGTGATGTAATAGTTACTATGTTCCTGGACCTTTGTCTTATTTATGGTCTTGTGTTCATGCAAGATGTTTGGTGGACATTGGCATGCTTGTCACTGTCTATGGGATAAATGTGTTCGGATAAATGTCCAGTGCTGACCCCATGCATACAGTTTCAGTTGACAGGTCTAGGCGGGCTTCTCTGTGGTTCCGCTCTCTAAGAACCCAAAGTGCTTTGGCCTCTGGGACTGCCAGCTTCTCGATTTCACCTGTACCACCCTGAAGCTGAAACATGTTCGTATCCGCATTGGCCACCTGGACTTTTTCTTAGTCACTCTATCCATTTTCCCACCATGTTCTTGTGTCTGATGTGAGAGTGTGTGGTGCTGGGGTTGGAACCCAGAGTCTCGTGTATGCGAGACCATCTACTTCTCAGCTACATCTCAGCCCCAAGTCCTCTGATGTTCGAGTCTTGTTTTATCAGGGGCACAAAGCTTTTATGGGAGCCCTGTTTTTCCCACGTGTCTTGGTTGCCGTCTTTATCATGAAGATTTATTATGTGTGTACCTGTGGAGGCCAGAGGACAACTTGTGAGAGTCAGTCCTGTCCTTCCTCAAACAGGGGATGAGACCCAGGTCATTGGGCTTGGCGACAAGCACCTTTATCTGCAGAGCCGTATCGCCAGCGTAAGACTTTTAATTTTAATGCGATGCCTGACAGGTTATGGTTTATGCCAGTTTCAGGCTTTCCAGGGAGTTAGCTTTGCTTGGGGGCTTTTCACTTGCTTTGTTCTGTGTATTGTAGTGTAGCCAAGGCTAGCCAAGAGCCCTTGCTCCTCATGCCTCAGGCCTCCTGAGCCCTGGGATTACAAGCACACAGCCAGCTCAGACTTGCACGGTTTTGAGGTCTCTCTTCCATGTAGCACTTTTTGTGTCAGGGAGCCAGGTGTAAGAGCTGGCCTTCCTTGTTTTCCCAGAACAGGCAGCCAGCTGTGCAAGCACATCTGCAGGAGTGTGTCACTTCCTCCTTCCCCGGCCCACACACACTCTTCCCACACCCAGGATGAGTTTTGAGTGGCCTTACTTTTTTGTTTCAGTAGAACTTTTTCTGAGCCAGTGTCACCGGGCATTTTATAGCACATTGTGGTCTTCTAGAAGGCCCCCGTTGGAGCATTTCAAGAATAGTCTTTCCGCTCGCACACAACGTTCTTACAGACAAGCTGTTGTTCAGATTCCCTCCCTCGAATCCACCACACGCACACCAGGCTGCTGTCCTGATACTAAGGACACAACGTTGTTGCCCGAACTTAAATGACAGTTTTTAGTTTTCCTGTAACACAATTGTAGGCCTGCGATCCAGCACTCAGGAAATAGGCAGGAAGAATAAGTCAGTGCCCCCCCCATGTCCTTTCAACCTTTGACCCTGATGGAGAGCGCTGGCTCCTTGTAAGCCCTAGAGTCAGGACAGGGTCCCAGACTACCCACCCCTATTGTTGCTCCCACGAGGCTCAAACCACACATGTCAGCACCCAGGAAAGACCTGGCCCTTAGCTGCTTGCCCAAGAGGGTGTGACTGATGGGTTGAGCTGGAAACGACTGGTCTCCTGACTCAGAGCCAGTTCACAAGATCCAAGGTCCAAGGTATTGATGTAATTAATAGTTTTCCTTCTCAGGAGCTGGAAGCAAAGCCCTTGGTTGGCAGGAAAAAAAACCAGAGGGGCTCCTGGGAGCCTAGTGCCCCTGCTGTAGTCAGTGTGCTTCTTTAGTTCCCGGCAGCTGGCACCAGCCCGGCTTGTGTTGGCTTGAAACTTGCCAAGAAGGGAGCTCACATAGCTGGGGAGATGACCCAAGCCTGAAGTAGAAGGAAAGAACCAGAAGTTGTCCTCCACACATACATACAAACAAAATAAATTGAAAATGTTTTAAAGTGAGGCTTGGGAACATCACTTCTTTTAGTTTCCTCACCCGTTGGCTCTCCTCAGGACTTATTCATACAGATTGACTTTTTTTTTTTTTTTTTTTTTTTTGAGGCAGGTTGTAGCTGCATGGCCTAAACTGAACTCTGAACACCTCAGACTTCCCAGAGTAGGGTTTACACCATTCAGCTTAAAGCTAACAGTTCTAGAATACCAAAAAGAATCTCTCAAACTTAGTTCATCAGGTACATACGGTTTAAAAGTCGCCCCGAGCGGACATACATACTGGCGTGTGTGCTACAGTGTCCCATCAAACCGGGCTTCATTCACGGTGGGGCCATAAAGGCAGCCAGGGGGCCTGAGCAGGACTCTCATGTGGAAGTGGTTCTGATGCTGCCTGTGTTCTTTCTAGGAGGGTGCAGGATCCAGCTTCCAGAATGTGGTGGTCCTTGATCACTCTCTCTTGCCTGCTGGCACTGGCCAGTGCCCACAACAGTCCTTCCTTCCACCAACTGTCGGATGACCTGATCAACTATGTCAATAAACACAACACAACGTGGCAGGTAGGCTGTGCTGCTATTTCCTGTCTGTCTGTCTGTCCGTCTTTGTGGGTCCCTGTTCTGGGTTACCCTGTGCACTCTGCTTCTGAGGTGACTAACTGGCCATAGGCCATTCTTTTCTGGAACCTGAAGCTCCTGGACCACACCAGCCTCCCCCCTGGTCTCCACATTGCATTATGGGAGTGCACATATGTGTGAACACTTGTCCGTGGAGGTGTGTGGAGGGATGTGAGCTTGAAAACGAGGTGGGCCCTGGGGAAGCTACCCCGGAAGATGAGGTGGTTTCTTACTACTTCCTGCCATCATTTCCTCCAGGTCTGGGCCAGCTCTCCTGCTAATAGCTGAAAGCAAATTAGAGAAGACGCGATAGTCTGAGAGCTGTGCCCTGACCCTGAATCGCTCTGCCTATTCCCCTCACTTCCTGAATTGAGCAGGACCCCTGACCTTCACATCCCCATCTTCTGAAGCCCCTCGGCGGGTGGGTGACTGTCCTGGTGTGGCTCTCTTCCAGGCTGGACGCAACTTCTACAATGTTGAAATGAGCTATCTGAAGAGGCTGTGTGGTACCATCCTGGGTGGACCCAAGCTGCCAGAAAGGTGAGTGACACTGTCTGCAGGAGACCCTGCTCCCATGCCCTGGCTTGTGAGCAGTAGTGCTAGTGTTGGGGTATAGGGAGAGGTAGAGGAAGCCCTTTCTGAATTCCCTAGGTGTGTTCTTCAGAGATGGCCTCAAATGCTGGATTTACTACCTTGTCTCATCCTCACATGAGGCCCCAGGCTTGGCAGTTGAGGTCTGGCTACACTCAGCTCTGAATAATTCAAGGACAGTCCATGGGAGCTGCCATTTATAGTTGATTTTTCTGGAAAACTGCAATGGACATTTTCATGGGGAAATTGTTCTTAGCAAGGATTAGGAATGTCTGTCTGAGGATGGTGATGGTGTTGTCTAACTCATGTTGGGCTGAAGGCACGGCACAGTTTAATATTTTAGAAATTCCAAGTCAGAAAGGTGGGAAAAGACTGAAGGCATTACTTTAGAGTCAGTAGGGCGCAATACATACAGGAGCAAAGGCCCAGTGCATGTCTCTGCCTGGCTCTCCCTTCTCATGACAGACGCACAGCAGGATCCTCAGATACACTGTGCCCTTCAGGGTTTTGGCTGTGGCCTTGAACTCATGGTCTTCCTGCCAGACACACACCTCTGCATCCTGCCCCGACACCAGTCCACGCATCAAACTGAGGATGCTTAGCTGTCAGCTGCTTCTTCAGAGTTAATGAGAGAATCTGGATGCTTTCCGTAGATAGCCCTAACACCTAGGATAGGCACGTCTAACCTAGGCATTGCCAAGTGTCTCTTCAAGGAAAATAAAAGAAAACGAATCCCAGGACCAGAAAGATGGTTCAGTGGTTAAGAGCACTGGTTACCCTCGCAGAGGATCTGGGTTCAGTTCCTGGCTCAAACACATAATGCCAGTTCCAGGGGATCTAATGCCTTCTGACCTCTGAGGCCACCAGGCACGCATGTAGTGCGCAGACATACGTACAGGCAAACCACTTCTACACTAAATAAATCAACCCAACAGAAAAGGATGAATCATAGTCCCCCCCCCCCCGTATATCCACAACACCAACCTAAAAATACATGTGAAGAATTATTGTTATTTAAGTCTTATTTGAATGGGATGTGGTGAGGTATTGCCTGTAATTCCAACGTTCACTAAGGACTTGGTCATGGTAGGAGGATGAAGAGTTCCAGGCTAGCCTGGGCTACGTAGCCAGACCCTATCTAAAAAAAAGGAGGAGGAGGAGGAAGAAGAAGAAGAAGAAAAAGGGATGGGGGGGGGAAGGCTTACCTGTATCCTACCAGTAGGATAGTTGACAGTACCCATTAAATAAGTATAGAAATGTACACAATGCTGAGTCATACTGGGAAGTGGTAAATGACGCCTCCTGCCTATGTCTCACCCCCTCTCTAAGAGCTACAGCTCAGTCTCAGGCCAGCTGCCCTTAGCCGAGTCTTTCAGGGGTGAGGGAGGGAACTGTAATTTGTAACAGCCCTTCCTTTGCCCAGGGTTGGGTTCGCTGAGGGCATTAATCTACCTGAAACCTTCGATGCCCGGGAACAGTGGCCTGACTGCCCGACCATCAAAGAGATTAGAGACCAGGGCTCCTGCGGCTCCTGTTGGGTAAGACCGTGCTGGTGGGAAGGGCTTCCGGAAGAAAACTGGATGGGGCCTGGTGTATCTAGGGAGGGCCCAGCTGTGACGAGGCGAGGGAGATGTCTGAAGTCCGTTTCTTTCCGCCACTCTGGTTTATGATCCTTGTGGCCAGGAATTACTGCAAGGACGGAGTGAGTGGCGGATGCACCATGATGGGCGTGCATTGGGTCTTGTACACTGGCTGTGAAGCCGCTTTCCCTCAGGAAATACAGCATCTCTGATCCAACACGGCTTCATGAGTGTTCTGCCAGCAGGCTGTCTGTGCTTTTTAAACTATGGCAAAATGTGCACGGCAGAAAATGCAACCCTTTTAACTAAGTATTCAATCCAGTGACATTAAATATGTTCCTGGTGTTGGGCGGCCATCTCAGCCGCCCATCTACACAGTCCTTTCCTCGCCTCCAGATGAGCCTGGTCAGTCATACTGAGTCCTCGTGGCCCTCTTGTGCCCATGCTGGCTCCCATCTGCTCTCTGCCTCGGAGTTTGCTCCACATGAGCCAAGTTCCCGGGCAGAAGGCCTGCTGCATTGATCTCTTTGATGCTAAGTGTGAGCCCAGGAGCCTCACCTGACATTGAAAAGGGTCTAAGCATTCAGAAGGCTGAGGGCCCTCCCTGCTTCAGCAAGGTGGGCTTCTTCTGAGGCAGTTCTGACTGTTAACACAGGCATTCGGGGCAGCGGAAGCCATGTCTGACCGGATCTGCATCCACACCAGAGGCAGAGTCAACGTGGAGGTGTCTGCTCAGGACCTGCTTACCTGCTGTGGTAGCCGGTGTGGGGACGGGTAAGCAATGGGTACCTGTTCCTGGAGACCCTAGCCACCTGTACTGAGTAGCTGACAGCTGCCTCGGGAGAAATCTGTTTCCATGGCTGAGACGACTCTGTGGTAGCTGCTGCTGTTGAGCTTCTCAGAACCAGATTGGCCTAAGCTCAGTGGGGACAGAGTCCTGGCAGAACGTGGTCTCCAAACGTTGTGATTACCTTCTGTTCCCTGTCTGGCTCTTATCCTTACTTGTTCCCCCCATCATCTCCCACTCCCATCCCCCGCTCAGGAAAATATACTGGTCTGCTCTGTAAGGATGCAGACCTCTGTTGGGGAGGCGGTGTTAAGGCGGTGGGGTGTCACATTAAACTCAGTCCGTAACTCAGGTGCTCTCCAGTGTCATCGGGGCCCTTAGTCTATAGCAGTGGTGCAGGTCAGATATCCCTGAGAGTTTCAAAAGAAATGTGTCTGGGCCTCACCACACCTTGTTTTGCAAGGGGTTCTCCTAAGTACAGTCCCAACCCAAGCGGACGTCTTAAAGCAGGGCATGACCCTGTATTTGCCTGTTGCCTTCATGGTCCTGTCGCCGTCTCAGCTGAGCATACATTCACTGTGGCTCTAACTCTTTAGAGTCCAGCAGGTGGCCTGGAAACCGTGTGAACCCTCCCTTCTTCATAATTTAAGGAATAGAAGAGTCATCTTTACTGTAGATCACAGAAATCTCACTTCCTGATTTTTCAGAACGTGTGCCTTTTCACACAAAGAAGGCACTTACAGCTTCTCTTTGACATGTCTGAGGTGCCAGTATCACCACTGTTAGACTTAATTGGTTATCAAGGGTCACTTGTACCCACACGGCAGCGTCGAAGCTGTGGATTTGATAACCAAGATGGTTCTCAATTGACTGGAGATAGTAGCGTATACAGCGTGGATTCTCTGGACAGAGGTGCTGGGTGTTCGATTCTTAATGGACCAGGCAGTGTGAGATTTCACTGTGCTACTCAGAACAGTGTGCAGATAATTCTGAGGAATCTGTTCTGGAAATTTCCACTTAACGTGTTTGGACCTTAGTTGATGGTATAATAAAACCTCAGAAATCAAAGTACTGTGGGTGTGGTGGTGCATGCCTTTAGTCTCAGCCCTTGGGAGGCAGAGCGGGAGGATCTCAGCCTGGTGTACATAATGAGCTCTAAGACAGCCAGGACTACATAGAGAGACCTTCCTTTAGAAAGAGAGAGAGAAAGACGGGAAGATGGGAGGGAGGAAGAGATAGAAAAAGGAAGGAAGGAAGGAAGAAAGAAATCAGACTACAGGTAATGGAGGGTGCCTTTGTAGTTGAGAACCACTATTTCAGGAAGAGGGGAGTGTTGAAGCTCAGTTTGATTTGGATGTTTGAAAAAAAAAGAGTCCGTGTGTCCTTGTGGATGGAGATGGAGCTTGGCTAGGCCCCTGGTGGAGTGACAGTGGAGATAGGGTGAATGGGATGTTGGACTGTGGGAGGGTACACTGAGGACAGTGTATGCGCGGGCGGGGGTGACCTTGGTATTTGTAGCATGCATTGATCTGTGGGGACAGCTGGTGCTCTCTTGCCATTGACAAAAGCTCTTTTTCAGCTGTAATGGTGGCTATCCCTCTGCAGCCTGGGGCTTTTGGACAAGAGAAGGCGTGGTTTCTGGTGGACTCTACAATTCTCACATAGGTGAGTGTGCGCCCACCACTCCTGTCTCGAAGGTGGATTTGATAGGCAAGTGTTGGTGGCTTCCCTTTCTAGTGTAAAGGGAAGGTCAAGGGCCAGCTGATAGATAGTTAGCCAGAGCACCCTCACTACAAGCGCAGACCCCACAGGATGCAGACGTGGTCTGGCTGCACCCCAGTCCTACCTGGCCGGGGGAGGGGGATCTCACAGTGGGGGTTGCAGGCTGATGTCACCTTGTCCCCTCCATTCGTCAGGCTGCCTACCCTACACCATCCCTCCCTGCGAACACCATGTCAACGGCAGCCGGCCGAAGTGCAGTGGAGAAGGAGAGACTCCCAGGTGCACCAAGAGCTGTGAGGCTGGCTATTCCCCATCCTACAAAGAAGACAAGCACTACGGTAAGGCGGGACCTGGCTTGGGCCTGCTGAGGGAGGGAGGCCAGTGTCACCGAGTGCTAAAAGGCCAGAGCGGTGGCGGTGGTGGTGGTGGCAGTGGTGGTGTCGGCGTCGGTGGCGGCAGCTGCGCACACCTTTAATCCCAGCAGGGGGCAGAGGCAGGCGGGTCTCTGAGTTTGAGGCCAGCCTGGTCTACAGAGAGGGTTTCAGGACAGCCAAGGATACCCCAAGAAACCCTGGAAGCAGCAAGAAGAAGGGAAGCTGGGTAATTCGCATCTGTCTCACTGGACAGAGCTACATGCTTCATACTCTGCCTGGTCCACTCTGTCCTGGCTCAGCTCCTTTGAGCTCCAAGGGACCAGGCAGACCATTGTTTTGCAAGGGGTTAGAACCTGGTTTTAAACCTCTGGCCTCTTCTAGGACTGTGTAACTCTGCTTACTTCTTACCTTGACCTCTGCTGGGGGGGCTGGAGGCGCTTTCTCACCCTGACCAGCTTTGTTCCTTCTGCAGGGTACACTTCCTACAGTGTGTCTAACAATGAGAAGGAGATCATGGCGGAAATCTACAAAAACGGCCCAGTGGAGGGTGCCTTTACTGTGTTTGAAGACTTCCTGCATTACAAAAACGGTACCTAGTGACCCCAATGGCAGGGTTGGAAGGAGGTCAGAGCCCACGGGCCCACATGGGTCCACATGAGCCAGCAGGTCTCACAGGGAGGCCAGAACACTGGGGACTCAGCTTCCTTCCTCGCTTTTTTCTCTGGGCAGAGTCACCCTGTGGTGGTGGTCTGATGGTCACAGCCTCCCCCCTGCTGTGTCACTGGCTCCCTTTGAGCATGGTCTCCACAGAGCCTCTCTGGAGGTCCCTTTTCATCCCTGACAGCCCAGCTCAGCTCCCTGCTCTGCTGATGCTTCTTCCTTTCCACAGCCATCCCTCCTGTCTTTGTCTCTCACCCATATTTGACAGTACTCATTCCTCTTTCTTTATCTCTGCAAAGGCCTAGATCAGCTCAGCCTTCCACCTAGCTGGGATCACAATTTTGACTTGGACTTAGCAGCTCATAATATCAGGGTTCTCAACCCATGGCTCGTGAAGCCTTTGATTCAGTTTATAACAGTGAAAATACATTCTACATTATCAGATATTTACATTACGGTTCATATTATGAAGTAGAAGCAAAAATAATTTTATGGGTTGGGGTCCCATCAGAACATGAGGAACTGTATTAAAGAGTCGCAGCATTAAGAAGGTTGAGAACCACTGCTTTAGAGGAACAGAACTTAACAGAATGAATCTTTCTTTCTTTCTTTCTTTCTTTCTTTCTTTCTTTCTTTCTTTCT